GTCCGGCCGCCTTGTAGGAGAAGTCCACAAACGATTTTAGGTATTTTTATTTAGTTTTTGGTTAGATTTTTCAAGTTAAAGGGAATCTAGGGTTTATGATTTTTTGAATTATTTTGTTTGATTTTGGATTTTTACATTATGGATCATGGTTAGAGGCAAGGAAAAGGGATCTGCGTCATTGCGGAGAGACTCTTCTTGGAAATATAGTGTACAAGTTGACATTGGCGGCGGAGAGAAGAGCTATGTTTATTTGAAATGTAATTTTTGCGATAAAGTGGTGAAGGGAGGTGTTACCAGCATGAAGGAACATCTATCATGCTCACACAAAAATGTTAGCTCTGCACACAACAATCAAGTAAAGGTATTCCACAACTTCTTATATGCTATTACATTACATTTATGTCAAGTGAGCAATGAACATGAATACATGATAATGATCTTTTCTCTTAATGAACAGGGAAGAGAAAAGTGAGTCATGTTGAAGATGATGATGACATGGCATTCATAAATACAATTGAAGAAGAAGATTCACTTGAAGACCCATTTAGTGATGGGATATGATTTCATTTTATATGTTTTTTTGTATTTTGGGAGTTTTGTTAAACTAATATTTTGTGATTTTGTACTTTGGGACATGATTTTATTGCATCTACTTTCTTATTTTCCACTATTTTCATATATCATTTAGATGTTTTTATTGCAAGGTACAATATTGCTATTATTTTCCTGCTAAAACCCTTAATTTTTCATTTACGCAATTCTGTGTTCGTGAGGCTTACGCCTCAGACCGCCTCGAGGCTTACGCCTCGCCTCACGGATGAAAACCGCCTCGAGGCTTAGTTACGCAATTTTAAACCTTGTCCGAGGGTGAGGAAACTGAAAATGTCAATTTTTTAGGGGAAGGATGCGCACTGGTGGATCTACAAGGTAGAAATATATTTCGTAGTCAATGGGTTGACAGAGGAGGAGAGCCTGATGGTAGCAGGTCTATGTTTGGAAGGAAAGGCTTTGGCTTGATACCAGTGGAGGGACATGCGATGACCCATAAGGAGTTGGAGAGAATGATTGTTTGGTAAAACATTTCCAAACTAGTAGGTGATGAAACTTCTACGAGCAGTTTTTCGCCTTAACACAAGAGAGTTCAGTGACGGAGTAGTGGGAGAGATTTGAGTACCTTACTAGCCGATTGGACCTCCTTCCTGAGACAGTATTAGAGGAAAATTTCAGTAAGGGACAGGCACCAAAGATGCAGGCAATGGTTAGAGTAATGATGCCTCATGACTTGGGAGAGGCTATGGAGCTAGCTCAATTGGTAGAGGATCAGAGGCACCTTGAGAGAGATGGGAGGCAGCAGCTCAGGAGGACCGCCACCTTTCTAGAACTCAAGAAGCCGACATCGAGTACTCTTCGAGAGACTTCGAAGGAGAAGACTGTGAGAGTAAGACCTAGGAACAACTTCAAGAAGCTCACAGAAACAGAATTACATGAGAAAAGGGCGAAGGGGCTCTGTTTCAGATGTGACGAGAGGTATAAGCCAAGGCACAAGTGTAAGGACCAAACTCTTCAGGTTCCTACTATTTGTGAAGAAGAGGGAATAGAGGAGAGTGTCGTCTTTTCACCTTGTGGACAAGATGGGTCTTTGGGAGGGGAGTATTGTTAGACCGGTTTAGCCGGTCCACATGGGACCGGCTCAGGCGGAACAGGAGGCGGAAGAGTTCTGCCTCTCCTGTACACCGCTCGAACCGCAGGAGCCAATAGAGCAGTTTAGGAAGGATTTTTAGGGAGTTAGGAGGCAAATGTGAATGTATGGATTGTTTAGAGAATTCCTTTTGGATTGTATGCATTAAATAATTTATTTTCTTAGGGTTAGGGCATATCATGAATTTGGCTAAATCTGAGATCTCTTAGGTTTTTTTTTGCTTTAGCGGCGTCTAGAGATTTGGGAGGGATAGATTCTCCTCTCGAATAGAGGATCAATTGTATCTTGGTATTTTCTTTCTGTTCTATTTGATTTCTTGCAATAAAATTATTATTTTCTCTGATTTTCATTGGAGATTAGAAGAAATTTCTCACTGTTTTCCCGAGATTGATAGGAATTACTTGAAATCTTCGAGTGTTCCTATCACAAAGCTCTCCACCTTTGCTTCCCTACTCCTTTGGATTCTTACTTTGAAATATTCAATGTCTAGCTTCAACTCATGCTGAATGGGAACAGAATAAGCACCAGATATTTAAGTACATATATCATCAGACAAGAACACTTATTTTCTTTAACATATCCTCTCATTGCAAACCTTCCCAGGCCCCTTTGCACGGGTTTGCACCTAATATATTTATCATTGTACCAGTTATTGAAAAGATTGCAGCAGTACATGAACATCAGCAAATTCTTATGACCATATGAAAGACAAAAAACTTATAATTAGAAAAGAGAGATTTTAAGAACCATAAATATATTTTTTATTCCAGTAAAATATTTAACCTTTCAATGATTAACAGACAAATTTTCGGTGATGCAAACAGGATGAGAAAAGTTACATTATATTTCAGAACAGCACATCCTAGTGATCTGTGGAACTATTTTAAAACCAACATTGGGTAAAAGGAACCGATTTATACTTTATCAGGTCTATTAACACATAAAAAGATCTTCAAGTAATAATGCAGATGCATTACATACCAAAACAAATCAGCAGCTAGCACAAGTAATAGAGCAGAAAAGACATGGAAATATTTGATGGGTGTTGAAGTAGGCGATGCATTTAGGCGCTCAAGCCGATCTTTAGCAAGTGATTGAAACATCTGCTTACAATCAATAGAAATGAATCCACATTAGATATGACACAATCACTCTTACAGACACATAAAGTTTATCACAAAAGCTCAACAAATGTTACCTTAAGGGAACAAAGAACAACCAACCAAGTTGACCATAAAACAGTTTGCGAAAGATTAGGTGGTACCACCAAAGGAAGGAAAGTTCCCTGCTCAAAAATGCACCGCAACATACATAAAGAATATAGAAAAAAAAACCATCAACTGGTAATTGTTCATAAAATGGTTAGAGAAACTAAGTAACAATAACCACGAAGAATTTTTTCTTTAAAAGAGTTGATGAAAAGCTTCCACAAGGAAAGAAACAAATTAGCAGTATTATATAGATGGCCAGATAGATGCTTTCTTTTATTAAGTGCATGTTGAACTAGCATCAAGAGAACAAACCCAGTAACTGGGTTTACTTAATTTACCAAATGGATTGAAGGAAACGCCAACAAAGTAGCTAGCAAGGCATATATTACACGCATTAAAGAGTCAATTTCTCACATAGAAGAAGACAAAAAGCCAAATCTTGATAACCATGTAATAAAAGCTGAGAATTGGCTGTACAAAGCCATCTTCCACAGCTGAAAATTGTTCAAAAAAATTAAAAAAAGGCATAAATCTTGACGTAATGCTTATTTCTAAAAATTTGTATTCATAAATTCAAAACAGAACATGAATGCCTAACAAGAACCTAGCCCATGCCAAATAAGATTATACTTGAAGAATTAGCATCATCTCATGTCAACCTAAGAAAACCTTTGTAGTTCTATATGGCCACATCATTACATGATAATTGCTTATAACTCTTACTTGTCAATGGCGGATCGCAGTGCAAAGTTTCCCATGGAGCTATGGCACGACGCGAACCATTTTAAACATGGCACACAATATAAAATTATATATATATATATATATTAAATACCATTAAATAACAAACAATAAGTTGATTAGAGCAAAATTTAAACATAAATATCCTATCAAACAAAAAAAATTACAACTTAAAATCCTACAATAACTTACATCGATAGATTTAAGTAGGACTTAAGCATAATTTACCCTAAATTCAACCAAATAGCAAAAATGACAGCCTTAAATCCTACAAAAAAAAAAAGTTAAATCCTTTAATTTTTTTTATTTTATTAATTTGATGTTTAATTAATTGATAATTAATTGTGATACTAATATATAAATCTTAAAAAATTTAGTTGTAATTTATAATTTGAAAGTTATACCATGTTAACAAAATAGCGGGCACCCTTTGCGCCTTACACCATGTGCTATTGCCCATGAATAGTTTGCGCTATTGATGCAACACTCCAACCAAATAGCATCATATATGCGCCCCGTGCCATGCGCCGCACGCGCTATGCGCGCCCTATTTTGCCTCATTGACATGTATGTTATAACTTGCTATATAAAATGAACTTTAAATCTTGACCAAATCTTGCAGAAGATTATTGTGCATTGTCAATTCGAATGTTGTCTATTTTCATCATTTATTCATTAAACATTCTACAAAATAAATGTACCATGCACAAAAGGTTTCTACAAAATGCGAGGCTTGGAGTGAGTTAATGTGGCAAAAGGATATATGACAAATATGATTTTATGATTTCTAATGGAAATCTAACCCATGATGCAAAATATCTATACAACAAACATGCAAAACTTTCTAGAATACAATATTTTATCTATTTATAAAGCTCAAGTTGAGGAACTTTTTTTAGACATTCTAATTTGCCCCCATCTTTTAATGAAATTTGATGGACTTGGTATTTTTCCCCCACTATTATCATTATTGATGAATTTCATCTATAGAAGTGACAAACAAGTTCAGCGGCCGAATGTTTCACATAGACAATGCTACAATAGGGGTGGACTCTTTGGATAGATGCTAGGATGAGGAGTAACATGCTCAAAATATGGATGGGTGAGGTTCACCATCACATGATTTACTCTTCACCATCTCACTCACCTTTTTTTACAATTCGCAGTTGTTGGATCCCAGAAAAGACAAATATCCTTTTGGATGAGGAGTTGATGATTTTGAGAAATTCTAATCAGTTTCAAGATGATCTTTCTTAGGGGTAAACCAAGGGAATTGATGAAGAGCTCATAGATATCAAACTCTGAGTTTTGCTTTTTTATGTCAGGTCAAAGATTTGCATTGAAAAAAATGTATTAGCTGTGAGAAAGAGAATCAACATGCTTCTAAAAGAAGAATTGTTTTTAGTTTTAAAATTTGTATCAGTTTTTATTTATCTATTTTATATCAACATGCCATGTGCTAAGCTCTTGATTAATAGTTTATCCTTTCTTTATAATTCTATGATGTAGTTTATTATAATTAAATAAACTGTTCTGATCTTTCTCCTGTACGTGACTTCTATTTTTTTTAAACTACTTCCTCGATGTGCTCTTTCTTATTCAATGCAGCATGCCATTGATCGACGTTTAAATAAATTTTCTTCACAGTTGTCATTTGTTGAAGTCTTAGCAACTGAAAAGGCCATTCTGCTTGGCTTCCAGGTATGTACCATTGTTAGCATGCTTAGCATGTCACTAAACTTTTAAGTAATATTCTTATATCTTTCTAACCTTTTTTAGTTTTTATATTAGCCTTTTAATTGCAATTTATTTATTTCTTAGTAGCATCTCATGAGTTCAACTTTTGAATAAGATTTATTTCTTTCCTTATTCTTCTCTATTATCATCTGTTGTAATCAATGATACTATTGCTGATTGATCCGTGGATGACTTCCATTTTATGTTTTATATCCGCATCTTTGTTGTGATTTATCTGATTTCAAGCAGCATGTCATTTGCTTAATTTTTGATTAATTTTATTTCATTTTCAATGATTCTTTATTATCTTTTATTGTACTAGTTGAATTTATTTCAACTTAGGTTCTATTGTTAGGATGCTTGGCATTTCATTCGCTAAATTATTAGTTCATGTATTTTTCTTGCTATTTTTATGCCACTTTGACATCATTTTTTGTAATTTAGTCGAGCTTTGGGTATTTTGGTAGGTATATTAGTGTCCTTTTTCGTGTTGGTAGGTATCATTAGCGACCACATGGAAGGAAGCTAAACCAATAATGAAAACGTCAAATGAACACTTGGCCAATTAAAACAAGAAACATCTACGCTTACAACATCTACGATGAAAATTATCCATAATCCATTGTGCTGCAAGAACAAGTTTCCACAGGCTCAAAAGATTAAAAATATATCTTCCGCTTAAAGTGCACAATTTGGTCACGGACACAGTAAATGTTAATTATTGAAAATATAAAATACGGATGCTAGTTGGACACGATATTATAATGTTTATATCATAAAGATAATACATATAAATTAAATAAGTAAAATATTCATAATAATAAAAAAATGATAAGTTATTTAACAAGGATTTGTACTTAAAACGATTAGCATTAGAATACTAAGAGTCAAGCATCAATGTCATATGTCGAACATCTAGATGGTAGAAGACAGCGGCATTTTTAAGGGTTCGGCTTCAATTTCATGCATTGGGCATCGGGCGTAATGTCGAGACAGAGTCGATCGTCCATGTTAAGATGTCATTGGATAAAGATAAGATATCGAGATAGCATGGGGGCATGAATGTGGGTATAGAGATTGTCAACATCATGGGTCAATGTCAAGATGGCATCATATGTCAATTTTCAAAAGGGTTTCGCACATCGATGTTGAGACGGGCAGACAACGTCAGAAGTCAATATTGAGACAGCATTGGGCACCAATGTGAAACCCTAGTTGTAGCCCATCATAGAGAAATGACAAATGAGAATATTTGGGGAATGGCATATTGAATACAAAAACTGATCTGAGACATTCCGGAGGTGTCAGATGTGTGTGTGTCAAAGACATGTCAAACACTGCATACCTTAAGGAGAAGTGTTTATGCATCATAGGTACAACCATATGAGACTATGTTGCATTTACTTAATAGATAAGTCGAAAGAAAAGTATACATTTACTATAAGTTGTCTGTGCCATCATATTCTCATTGAATATTCAAAACAATCTTTGTGAAAATGCTCACTTAATCATTTGTTATTTAATTGAGAGAATGTTCTCAAAAATTTTGAAATTTGAAACACCTTTACAAATGCTCACAAAATGTTTTCCTATATCTTGGATCACAGCTAGCCTACCTTTTTATAGTTTTAACTGTATTTGTTATAAGGACATACCAAACATTTTTAGGTCAAAACTTAATCCTAAAGCAGAAAAATATGCTTCTTTGGCTATGCTTCTAATAAAAAGGGGAACAAATGCTTTAATCATGTCACAAAGAAAATTCTTTGAAATTATGAATGTAAGCTTTATCTAGGGTCATCATTTATTTAAAACAAATTCAATTAAGGGAGAACATAATTAAGGAAGATAATTTTTTGAGGAATTTTACCAATTCTTTTAATTAATTATAATTTTAAACATCACAATCAATGACGAATGTAGAAAAAGAAGCTAGTCCATAAAACTAAAAATAAGATAGGAACTTAGAATATAAGCTCCCTTACAGGAAAATTAATGAAATTAATAGATATTATGATTCATAAGAAGATAAATATTCTGTGCATTCAGGAAACTAAATAAATGGGTTGGAGAGAAGGATAAGAAGATTGATAGTTTATGATATAAAATATGATTTCGGGTAAGAGTCGTACTAGAAATGGTGTAGGTGTGATTATAGATAAGAATTTGAAAGATAATGTTATTAAAATTAACAGAATTAGAGATAGAATTATAGTTTTAAAGATTGTTATTGATATTAAGATTATTAATATTAGAGGTGCTTATGTTCCTTAAGTATGTTTGGATATCAGTTCAAGATTAAAATTTTGGAATGACTTAGAATAATTAATACAAAAGATGTCTATTGAAGAAAAAATTTTTATTGAAGGAGATTTAAATGGACATATTGGTAGAGGGGTATATGATTTTAAAAGCATTCATGGTGACCATGGATTTGAAACAACAAATAAAGGTGGTAAGATCATATTAAATTTTTCTTTAGATTATGACTTTTTAATAGCTAATACTAAAGAGATGAGCATCTTATCACTTATAAAAATGGATATATTAAAACGCAGATTGATTATTTTCTTATAAGAAAATTAGATCGTTTAGATTGCAAAGATTGTAAAGTTATTTTAAGTGAAAATTTATCTATTCAACATCGATTATTAGCTTTGAACTTTAAGATAAAGGGACAGAAAATAAAAAATAAAGTAAAATTATTTTCTAAGATTAGATGGGGACATTTAAAAAATATTACAAATGTATTTTTAAGAGTAAGATTTTAGATCGTAAGATTTTGTCTGTGCATGAGGATGCTAATGTTATGTGAGAAAAAGTGGCTAATGATATTAAGAATATTATAAAATATGTGCTTCGAGTTTCGAAGAAAAAAACTCCTAATAGTAAAAATAGTTGGTTGTGGAATTCAAATGTGCAAGAAAAGATAAAAAATAAAAAGATTTGTTATAAAATTTGATTTAGATGTAAAATTCTGATAATTGAAAAAGTTATAAAGATGCTCGTAAGGAATCTAAGAAAGTTATTTGCGATACAAAGAGCTTAACTTTTAATAATTTATATAATATATTTGATACTGAGGGAGAAAGACATATGTATAAGTTAGCCAAATAAAGAGATAGAAGTAGTAAGGATTTAGTTCAAGTGAAGTGTATTAAGAATGAAGATCAAAAAGTACTTTTCTTAGAAGATGATATTCAACAAAGATGGATGGGATATTTTGCTAAACATTTTAATGAAGAATGTGATTATATGATTAGCTTTAGTGATTTTAGCACCCTAAATGAAAATAAAAATTTTTTTTAATTGGCGTATTAGTAAAACTGAAGTTATAGATGTTTTAAATAAAATGAAGTGTGAAAAAGCTATTGGACCTGATGATATTCCAATAGAGATGTGGAAATGCTTTAGGACTTACTAAACTTTTTAATATTATTTTGAAGACTAAAAAGACGTCAAATGAGTGGAGAATGAGTGAGTTAATTTTTATTTTTAAGAATAAGGGTGATGTACAAGAGTGTGTGAATTATAAAGGAATTAAGTTAATTTGTCATACTTTAAAACTATGGGAGCGAGTTATGGAATGTAGGTTGCGGCGTGATACTAATGTTTCTCAAAATCAATTTGGATTCATGCCGGGTAGGTCTACTATGGAAGTCATACATTTATTGAGAGGTTTGATGGAGAAATATAGAGAGAATAAGGAGGATCTACATATGATATTTATTGAGTTAGAGAAAGCATATGATAAAGTTTCAAGAGAAGTGCTATTGAGAGTTTTTCTTGAAAAGAAAGGAGTTAATAATAATGTTTATATTCAAATCATTAAAGATATGTATGCAATAGCTATTACTTGTGTTCAAACACAAAATGGTTTGACCAAGTATTTTCCTATTTCAGTTGGATTACATCAATAATCAGCCTTAAGCACATATCTTTTTGCTTTAGTCATGGATGTTCTCACTAGACATTTACAAGAGAATGTACCTTGGTGTATGTTGTTTGTTGATGATATTCTTCTTGTTGATAAGACTAGAAAGGGAGGAAGGCAAACTTGAATTATGTAGGTCAACCTTAGAGTCGGTTTTCGCTTGAGTATATCTAAAAATGAATATATGGAGTGTAATTTTAGTAGCAATAGACCTAGTGAGGGGATTGTAACTTTGAACGATCAAGTCATTAACAAGAGTAATGTTTTAGATATCTTGGATCTATTGTTCATAGTGATGGTGAAATAGATGGGGATATTATCAGCAGAATTCAAGTTGGATGGTTGAAATATAGGAATGCATCGGGCTTGTTGTGCGATAAAAAAGTCCCCCTCAAACTTAACGAAAAATTCTATAAGATGGTGGTGAGACCTACAATGCTTTATGGTGCCGAATGTTGGCCATTAAAAGAGAAGCATAATACTAAGCTAAGTGTTGCAAAGATGAGGATGCTTAGGTGGATGAGTGGCTTTACCCTTAGAGATAGGATACGAAATAAGCATATACATGAAAAGGTTGGAGTAGCTCTAGTGGAAGATAAGATTAGAGAGAGTCACCTTAAATTGTTTGGTCACATTAAACGGAGGCCTTCCGATGACCCGGTTAGGAAAGTTGAGGTATTAAATTGGACTTATGTTAAGAAAGGTAGAGGTAGACCTAAAAAGACTTGGTTAGAAAATATTAGAAATAATCATTCTTTATTAGATTTAAATGAGAATTTGACTTTTAACATGATATAATGGAGAAAAAGAATTCATGTAGCTGACCCCACGTAGTGGGACAAAGGCTTGATGTTGTTTTTGTTGTTGTAATCATACTCAAATACATTAAAATCCATCTTAACAACAAAACAGTTCATCTTCATAAATTTCAAAGTAGTATAGCATGCTTGGCAACATAAATCAAGCAATCTCAGTTTACCATAAAATGTTAGGTTTAGAATAACAACCACCTTGTATATAACGTAGTTAATTAGCTGTTCCATCAGTTTCCGAGACTCTGAAGAATACAATTGTTTAAAGAATAACATCTGCAAGCCAACAAAAAAGATAAATAACTAACCAAATCAACCGGAGAAAAAAATTTTAACCACATAAAACATAAAAAAGGCCAATTAAGAATTGATGCAAAATGTCGAATATAAATCATATCTTTGTGTAATGACTAGTTCAAGAAAATGATACTAAATTTGGTTTTTGTCTGTTGAGTTATTTAGCTGCAACGTCTTTCAAGTTTGATGCAGCTATAGTAAAAAATTTTCATGTAAAATAATATCAAAGAAAAGCATGCAAGTCTCCTCTCAACTTCCGCTGGACAACTTATTCAAGATGTCAAAATTAGCTCACTGCATTCATGGCATGCAAACTGATTTAGGGAACTTAGAATCTCAAGTTTAAACCAACCCTCACAAGGTTTGCATATCCTAAAAAAACTGCAGTTTCTCTGAAATCTCAAGAGATTCCCAGTTCTACCTGTAAGCTAACTTAAATCTCAAGAAATAATTAAAGTTGCTTAGAAGCTATAATTCTCCAGTGTTGGTCCCATAGCTTAAGATGTCACATTGGCGTGTCATTAAAGTTCAACAAATTACCACACGTTCAAAGTGCCAATCAAAGAAAGTTCAAAGTAAATGAAAGAATGTTGACAGTAAGACTTGAGTTCGTAGGACACCTTTATTCTTTTTATTGCTCATAGATTACCTAAAATATCTTGCTAGAGAATGGTAATTTGAAAGTACAAAAACAACAACTTGAATACGTTGCACAACAAAATCAGCATGCAAGTGGCAGAGCCAAAGATTTTATACATTACTTAAGATACATTTCTCATCATGACTATCATTAGATAAAGGTATGAACTTTTCAATGTGTGAACAAACTAATTCATAAAAGGCTCTCTGCTCCCCATACTTCTTCCAATCAAATGGCACCATCATATTCAAAATAAACAGGCAAACCGAGGTAAGCACTTTGGGCAAGTTCAAGAAAACTTACCTTGAGACACAGAACTAGAAGAATATATGCATTAACCGCTAGATTAACCAGTAAAGCAATGGTGACGTTTGACCCAAGGAGCACATCCACAGCACGTCCTGCCTCTCCCAGTCCGAGGCCATTCCTCGAGAGGAATGAGAGAACCCACCATTGAAGCCCGGCGACGCTCAGAGCCAAGCAGACTGCTGATACCGCAATGTAATGCAAACTCATTTCCACAAATTCACACCTTTATCTACCCAGTCAACATAATCAACAGATCCAATCTAACGAAACTGGGCCCTTGACCACAAAACAGTCAGGAAATCGCGGTCAATGCGTGCCCAAAATCTGCATCGGAGTTCCGTTTCATGCCTCCATGCAAAACTAAAAAGCTAGAAACTTGACAAGACAATCCGATCGGTAAAGTTAGCATTCGATCCAGCGACCAATTTCCGGGCAAGGAAACCCTAGAATCCGTGTTTGCTGAACGATTGCCTTGATGAGTGGAATCGAAGAAAGCGTAGGGAAAAGGGGAGGACGACTCACGTACGTTCTGGTTCAGGTAGACCCCGTTGCCGTGTGGCCGACGGCGTGGATCTTCGCGCGAGATCTTTTTTGCAAAAAACACGATTGCTCGATTGGCTCCGTCTTCTCCGGTCCTGATCGGTTAAATAATTTCAGAATGGAGATCGCTGTGGTTTGCAGGAGAGTCAGTTAAAAATAATATATTAGTTGAGTACACCTTATGTTATATAAAATTAATAATATGACAATAACTGCATAGTAATATTTTTTTCAATATTTATTAAAGGATTATATTTCTCTATGAATAATTAAAAAAAAAAAGGAATATATATAGATTTTTACATAATTTTGTATAACCATCAATTTGAGTTTAAAGTATTAATATACAGATATATACAACACCAAAAATTAAAAAAACTTTTTAAGAATGCATATACAAAATTGTATGTAATTCTTAATTTTTTTATAGATTTATAAATAATTATGTATAACATCAAACAAAAACAACATCATTCATTTATTCCACTACATGTAGTAGATCATATGAATCTTTTTTTTCATTGTGTTCTGTTAAAAGTCAAATTCTTATTTAAATCTAACAAAGAATGATTATTTCTAATATTTTATAATCAAATCTTTTTAAGACTTAGTTTGGGACGACTTTCTTTCTGCTTTTCAAAACAGCTTTTTAGTACAAAAATTATAATTTTTGTACTAGAAAGCTGCTTTAAGAAGCAGAAAGAAAGCCGTCCCAAATGAAGCCTAAGTCTACCTCTTACTTTCTTAACGTAAGTCAAATCTAAAATAAAAAATGACCATAAAATGCATTCATATATTTGTGTATCACTGTTTGAAACTTGTCTTGCTCGATCGATCTCTAGTCACACTTAGAAAATGAATGAGCCACTTGCTTATCATCACTTGATGTTCACCAACTATTCTAGTTGTGGACAATACAACTCTTTGTAATCTTTAAATTACACTAGTTAAAAGAGTTTAGACAAATGTGCAAATCATAAAAAATAGAATAAGTAGCAAAAAAAATTCACAATTTTTTGTAATCTTAATTTTAGCTCAAAGAGTTGCACACAATTATGTATAACAAAGCAAATATATTACTTTCTAGCATAGACACACATAAACTACAAACAACCCTTATTTTATTTTTAAAAGCTTATACATATAATTATATACAATACCAAACTTAGATTAACTTATGAATATATATATATATATGATATACTGAATTTTGTATTTAAAGGGATGTCCCAAATTTGTGTAGCAAGTAAAAAATAAAGTTGTCACAAAAACATCATCTACAGCTTAGTTTGCTACTATAAATTTGATTTAAAGGGTTGTATATAACTAGGGTGTCCACTTTTGACACGACAACGAAAACTCGATCCCGGACCCGACCCGAAAAATTCCGGGTTTGACCCGACCCATTGCAAAAGCGGGACGGGTTCGGGTTCCAGAAATCGACCCTTTCAAAAACGGGTTCGGGTTCGGGGTTGAAACCGGCGAGTTGGCCGAGTCAACCCGCAACCCGATTAATTCAAAAATTTTGAATTTTTGCATTTCCCGGCCTGCCGAGCCGCCGCCCGCGCTGCTCGCGCCTGCCCGCGCCCGCGCCTGCCCGCCGCGCAGCCGCCCGCAGCCGCGCCTGCCGCGCTGCCCCAGCTCGTGCCGCGCGCCCACCGCGCGCCAGCCAGCGCCACCGGCGCTGCAGCCCGCGCCTGCCAGCCACGTCGCCGTCCGTCGCCGTCCGCCAGCAGCGGGTTCGACCGAACCGGGTCGGGTCGGGTAACCCGCAGACCCGCCGCGTCGGGTTCGGATTTCGACCCGTTTGCCTTCCCGGGTCGGGTTAGGGTCGACCCGTTTGAACCCGGGTCAGTTCCGGGTTCGACCCGAACCCGACCCGTGACCCGAAATTGACACCCCTATATACAACTATGTACCACAAAATAAAAATCGTTGAACAAAAACACACCTACAATATTTGTGTACAAACTTTCATTTGAATTTCAAGGGGTATGCATAGCTACATAAAATAAAAAAAAAAAAATATGCCACAACAACTATTTGCAATTATATATAAAAAAATATTAACTTTAATTTAGGAATTTTACACTTATGTTTATAGTATTAAATATAAACACTTGAAAAAATCTATTACATCTCTGTAAAAACTTATTGGGTTGATGAGATTTAACTTGTTATCATAAAAAAAATTACTAAAATTCATAAATATGTAAGAAAATTAGAAGAAGTGCTAAACAATTTGTTAGAAATCCAAATAATATTGGGCATGTCACCCTAACTCTATTTCAATAATTTAAATTATTTATGTTTCATTTGGGACGGCTTTCTTACTGCTTCTTAAAGCAGATTTTAGTCAAAAAAAACAATTTTTGTACTAAAAAGCTTCTTTAAGAAGCTTTAGAAAGTTGTCCCAAACAAAGTCTTAGATTGCATATGAGGTCAAAAACTTTTCCCAAAAATAAAAAAAATAAAAATTATATGTGTGCTATATGGTGCCTTTTGTGCTTTTGATTTTATGTTTGTATTTAAAATACAATATGAAGTGATGTAAATGAGTATAAGATACATGCATGAGCTTCACTAATACACTCTTAAATAAAATAAAAAAAAAACTAAGGATGCAAGGACCTTTAGCGAATATTGTATGGCTTGTAGTTAACTTAGGCACCCATATTCTATATTCTATCTATACATTCCTATTTATGTATTTATTTTATGTTGGGTTTTACTTATGTGACCCGTCTTCTTTATATCTCTTTCAATGGGGTGTATTTGCAAAACCCAACTACATTAAAACTTTCTCTCGCTTATAACTTGCATAATATTTATAAATGATAGTATTTATATGTAATTGAGTTATTTTCATTTTTATTAATGATATGTTGGTTGACTGAAAATTATGGACATTTATTAAATATCATTAAAAATTATTTTCAAGAAAGCTAATAAAAATGATAGCTAACCTTAGGACAAATTATATTTCTAAAAAAAAATAAAATCATGATCTTTTATTCTTTTAATGCCACTCTATTAAATAAAATGAAATTCACACCTTTTCTGTTTATGTAGATATGTGTTAAGCATATTGAGTTATCTACACCTTCTCATGAAAGTGCGTCATAAAATCAATAAGAGCCTAACTATTTCATTAATCATAACATTACTAAATTCTATAAGTTATTGAATAAAGTATTCATGATAAGAATACATAATATTACATATCATATATATCTCATATAGTATACTTAATTCCTCTATTTGAAATAGATTGATATTAAGAATCCTTAAACTTGCTTAGGTGAAAGCCTAATACACAAAGTTTAATGGCAATCTTGATCCATATAAGATTATATGATCATTTGGGTAATTTAACTTTGTATGTTAAATTGTTAATATGTTCTCTTTATATTGGTATCTTCTTATACATCATAAGAGTAAGCATCATGTTAATTCTATTTTGGCATGTGATATAGTAAAAGGCCGAAACATTTGTTGAAGATAATAAGAAAATGTAAGATAAGTCTCCAACTAATAATATTAACAACTTTTATGAGGCTCAATTAAATAAACTTATTATACTTTAATTTTATTATTACACTTTAGCCATTTCATTATGCACAGCCTAAGAATTGCATGCATCTTCCTAAGCTTAGAGTCTACGAAGTATTTTGCCTAAGATAACCTAAAACCCCTAATTTTAAGACATTCCTCAAATATATCAAGTGCTATCCTTCAATTCTATTTTTTTATGGATGAAGATTAAGAAACGTATAGCTTAGCTTTGATAATACATGTAAGAAGAACATGCTTGGACAGTTCAATTGAATCGGACCTAATAACAACGACCAATGGGCGAACAAAGAGTCGACCGAGCGAACATGAGTAGGTTAAACTAGAGTGCAGAAGCAGCTTGCTAGCGGGACCGAATCACATAAGTGAGTGAGGAAATGGGTTTGGGAGTGAAAATTTATGACTCCTTGTGGGAGATAACTTTTATTTGCTCATTCAATGAGCCATACGATCGAAGGAAAGCTCTGAACGAGAGGAGGCATGAATGGATAAGAAAGAAAAGGAAATTTTGTGAAAAAGAAAAGAATTCAGGTAAGGAAGAAGAATATGTTGCTTGTAAGAAGCTTATTTTTTGTTTCTCCATTGACAAAATATATAAGTAAATTATTACTCTATTTTGTTATTTCTTAGGTGAAGGAGAAAACCTAGGAAAAAAGAAATAAATTTAGAAGAAATATCACCGAGGTATTTTAATTTAATTTAATTTAATTTAAATTAAGAATAGTTAACTTTTAATAATTTTTAGAAATTAACCGTCGATTGATGTAAATTCTTGTGTTAGATAGGTTCATTTATTTATTTAGAGAAATTGAATGCAATAAAAAAGAAAAAGGTAGAGTATTAAACAATATTATTTGGAGAAAGATAAGTTGTTCTATTTTATTTTAGAAAAAAGAAAGATCAATTGATTGAATGAATTGATCATTGAGCTGAGATAAAGTATTGATTTCAGGCCAACAAGAGTTATTTTAGTGATTTTTCAGTTATATGTGGGATATTAGTTTGTTAATTGTTTAGGTAATTGAAAAAAATGTATTAAACATTTGATCGGGTCCTTTCCCACCTCGTTAATTTGAATCTATGGGCAGCATTGTGACAATACATTTCACAAGATAGATGATTAATTCAATCAAATAAAAAATAATTTAATAATCTTAAAAAAAATTATCAAGAAAAATTTTATTAAACCAACAAAAGGTCAACAACATAGAGTATACACAGAATTTTGAAGAGGGCTTAGAACATCACCCCAAATACAAAGAAAATATAAGTCTACAATTAAAAGTCTAGCTTAACGACTAGCTCATCAATCTTATATACTATATTGATAACATTAAAGCTCGATCTAACTTTGGTATCTATACTAATAAGCCTTGTGTTTCACCTCTTCCTATCGAAAGTTATACAGTTACCATGCTCTTAGATCATTTAAGTGGATTACCTATACCCCTTCATTTGTGAGCTCACTGATCATGAGCCTCCTATTATACTTCAGATGCATATAATTATTGTAGCATTAAATCATCAACCTAATTTTTTTTTATTAGTTGCTTAATGTCATACTTAA